GGGCAATGATAGTATCTGTTATCGTCTTGAGTAAAGTGAAGAGAAGCAGAAAATGTTGCAATACACTTAGGACCTGGCATGGAATCTTCATCCAAGCAGGGGTTCAAATAAATGCTTATTTATTTATTTTTTTTGACAAAGAAAAGATAAAGAAACAAATTATCTTTAGCCAATAACCTGAATACCAGAGGAATGGGAGCAGATAATACCAATAATTTCACATTTTTTTTGGCATACAGGAGTTGGCAAAGTGCAGCATCCATAACTATTTTCAAAATTGAGAGAGGAGAGCAAAATTATAATATTACAGCCAGCATAATTTACGCCTCTTCCATCAGAATTCTTGCCAAGAACTTCAAAGCCAGTCAACAGTGAATATGCAGATATTTTCGAAAGTATCCTCAAGGACCCTTTTCCTCTTTACAATCACTCCCTTATTCTGAGAAGCTAATTAAGAAAATATGATTTTGCCATATACACTTTTCCCTTCCCTTTTGACACTTGTGCTGGTGACAGCCTTAAAAAAACTACAGAAGACTCTCCATGCCAGCTGTCCTTAATCCCAGGCCCATACTGTGAAAACAGATTCAGAAGCAACAGCACATATGCACAGTTGACATGAACGGCACATCCTGCAATGTAATTATTCCAGGTAAATATGAAATGTTGTTCTCTTTCCCTACAGGAAATTTCTTCAGATGAGAAATCAGCTTCACAGCTGGATGGAGAGAGGGTTAGATGAGTGCACGTGATTGGGCACAGGGAGAGGAGGAATTTTAGTGGGATGAAATTACAATTAATTTTGCCAATGCTTATGTGTGAATTTGAGTAAATAACTGCTATTTAGTAAATGGGACTGAGAATGAATGGCATAGTCAATAATAATAATAAAAAAATCATGCAGGTTGCCAGGAACAAATTAAAAATATTCTTACTAATTGCCAAATGGTCACCTAATTTCTTCTAGTTTACTCTGAAAACATAAGTAAATATGACACACTATTTTTCACAATGGCAGTTTTCTTTCACATATACAATTTTTATTATCCTTGAAATCAAATATAAAAATCTTAATGTAAAATACTGTAATTACAATATAAGGTCTTATAAAGATTATTAAAGACCCCAATCATGAATTTTTAAGTTTAGATATGAAAGATAAGAAAGGACTAAGTATTTAATAATTTTTAGAAGTATTCTTTTATGTAAAGAAAAGTATATCCACTGTACACTAAAGGCTAGATTTAATTAAGGAGCAATCTACTTGGTAGACATAAACACTAAGTTAAATATATACTTTAAAATAATCTAATTTCTTATGTTTATTTTAAGAGTGTAATTAAAAGATAGGGTTGCTATGAGTTGGAATAGTATAGTACCTAAGGCACTTGACTGCTAACCAGAAGGCTGGCAGTTCAAACCCACCAGCCACTCCTCAGAAGGAAGATGGGGCAATCTACTTCCGTAGTGATACTGCCTCGGAAACCCAAGGAGGGGTCACTATGAGTCAGGTTTGACTTGACGGCACATAACAACAACAACAACAAGAACAACGAGTTGGAACAGACTTGACAGCAATGGATTTGGAATTCAAAGATACCAGCACCTTACTAGGAGCTCTGGTAGCATAGTGGCTAAAGCACTTGACTGCTAACCAGAAGGCTGGCGGTTCAAACCCACCAGTCACTCCTCGGAAGGAAGGTTGGGCAATCCTACTTCCGTAGTGATACTGCCTTGGAAACCCAAGGAGGGGTCGCTATGAGTCGGGGCCGACTCGACGGCACATAACAACAACAACAACAATAGCACCTTACTATAATTTACCTAACTTTCACAAAAATATAGGCCCACACCCCTCTCTAGAAAGCTCAGTAGACTTTTACCCAACACTTCATTGTGTTCCAGGGAAAAGAACAACTAATTCCACAGAATCTTGGGGTAGAAGGTTTGAGGTCTGGAATGTGGCCTTAGGTGTTAGATTTCTAAATATGATCCCTTGTAATATTACTGTTTCAAAATTATGTAAAAATCTATGTACACAGACATACACATTTTATGAGAAGAAAGCCAAGTTTTATCACAATCTCAGAGTGTTCTGGAAACCCCCAAACATGAGGAATATTGAGCAAGCCCGTATTCCAGTTTACAAATAAGCCCACAGATAGATCTAGAGTAGTCATCATAAAAGACCTAGAACCAGGTCTCTTGATATCCAATAAGCTCAGTGCACTATCACATCCATCTCTTTTTTCTCAGATAGTAGGGAAGGAAAACTGTGATAATTTTGCACAGCATTTTTGTGAGATTTTATTACAGGCAAAAGAGTAGTATCTTGGGCAAAATACTACTGACAAATTCAAAGTCTTGGAGGCTAATATGTTGTTGTTGTTGTTACATGCTGTTGAGTCAGACCTGACTCATAGTGACCCCTCCTTGGGCTTCCGAGGCAGTATCACTATGGAAGTAGATTGCCCCATCTTCCTTCCGAGGAGTTAGTTGCTGGTGGGTTTGAACCGCCAGCCCTCTGGTTAGCAGTCCAGTGCCTTAAGCACTACGCTACCAGAGCTCCCGGAGGCTAATATAGAAGGTCTAATCCAGAGCCATTGACTCAATTCTTACTTGCAGCGACCTATACGACAGAGTAGAATCGCCCCATAGGCTTTCCAAGGCTGTAAATCTTTATGAAAGCAGATTGCCTCATCTTTCTCCTGTGGAGTAGGTGGTGAGTTCGAACTGCTGACCTTTTGGTTAGCAGCCCAATGCTTTAACCACAGCACCACCAGAGCTCTTGATAGAAGATCTGCATGAGCTAAATTAAAAAAATGAAATAAAATCCTGAGCCTTCAAACTAATACCAAGCCAATCTCATATCCAATCGTGCCTTATGCCCCTACAGCATATTCTGTGATCTTCAAGATGACAGAGCAAGCCTTAGGACCTCTGAAGGGAAAAACTGGATCCTGAGATAACACATAATACAATGAGCACTAGGTGAATTTAACCTGGCCTAGAAGCATGGGCTAAGGAGCTCTTGTGGTGTAGTACCTAAGGGATTCGACTGCTAACCAGCAGGGTGGTGGTTCAAACCCACCAGCCACTCCACGGAAGGAAGATGGGACAATCTACTTCCCTAAAAATTTACTGACTCGGAAACCCAATAGGGGTTACTGTGAGTCGGAACTGACTCAATAGCAATAAGTTTGAGTTTGGAGAGGCTTGGGCTCTCCATATCTCACTGCCTCCATGCCTGTGCCCTACCTCTAAATACACCCCTCCCCCCCACACACACTACAGACAGGTAAAGAACAGTTCATTTCATGGTCGAGATATATGACATACAAATGAAAATATTTAACTGATTTATTAGCCAAAGAAAAAAGAAAATCATCCAACAATAACTAATTTAATGAGTAAAGTGTTTAGGAGAGAATGTCACTAAACTTACTAAGAAAACATGTGCATCAATCTTGCCAAACCACCCAATACAACCTCTTGGTGCTTTTAAAAAGAAAAAACTGTTTGTTTCTGTACATCAATATACACAAACACCTACGTACAAATTCTAACTCTTGCTATTTATTTACTGTATGACTGTGGTAGTTAAGGTTATGGGTCAACTTGGCCGGGCCTGGTTGAGTGGCTGGGCAGCTGTATGTAGTTATTCCCCGTGGTGAGACAGGTAATCAACTCCACGGTGGAATCTACTGGAGCAGCTGAGTAGCTGCCGTAGGGGTGTGGTCTGCTTCCAGGATATAAGAAGCAGCTTTGAGGAAGGTCTGCAGCTTTTCGCATGCTTGAATCCTGCATGTAGCTGAGTCATTGTTCGGCAGCCTGTCAGGCTGTCTGCTGATCTTGGGACTTTTAATGGACTTGAATCAATGACATGCTGTGTGGGTTGGTAATATTGGGACTGTGCCTTTTTGCTTGTCGACCTTGGGTTTCTCAGCCTCAGTAGCCAGCAGCTGTCTGAGTGAAGAAAGCCTCCAACTTCAGTGGGCCGGGAGCAGGAAGCAGAGCTGAAGCCCAAGGTGGAGGGGCTTGCAGCCAGCCCCTAGAGCCTAGCACTTTGAAATTGGACTTCTAGCCTCCAAAACTTTAAGAGAATAAATTCCTGTTTGTTAAAGCCACCCATTTGTGGTATTTTCTGTTAGAGCAGCATAAGGCAACCCAAACAATGATGTTAGGCAAATTACTTAATCTCTCTGTGACTCAAGTTCTTAATTAATAAAATGGGGGTGGGGTGGGTAACAGTGGTATCTTATTGGTTGTTTTGAGGATTAAACGTGGTAATGAGCCTAGAACAATGCCTCACGTTTTGGTAATAACACATCATTATCATTATGTATGCAATTGACTGGTATGGGGAGAAAGGAATTAAGAAATAAGCTTAAGACAAAATTGTTAATTAACAAATGCTCAAGCTTTCATGAAAACTCAAACTACTCCCTCAAAGAACATGAGGAAGTCTGTTCACCTCAGGTTTTTCTTGGGAGCCCATTTTCACGGACTTAGCATGAAAGGGTTCTTTACCAAAATGGGATAAAGTTAGATTGATTAGTCTGTGTCAATGGAGCGGCTCCTTCTTGCATCTGTGGGCTGAATGCAAAAAAAAAGAAAAAGAAAAACTTCTCCAGTGCTCCAGTCTCAGTTATAGCAACCACCTTGTATGGGGGATCTGATTGGTCCATGTGTTTTGGCCTCTGTAACATCTCTGACAAGTAACTTATCTGAAGTTAAGTGCCTTTAGGAAGTTGTTTCCTGAGAAGTGAAATGTTTTGATGACAACTTAAAAGATAATGTCTGGCTTTATCATGTTATCCCATGACAGGGACCTAGCTGAGACAACAGAACACTGAAAAGCTAATAGCTTTGAACACAAGAACAAGCCCTGAGACTCCCAATGGAGTCAATTAGTTACTGATACCATCTAGTGTCCACTTTCCACACCACAATATCAAATATTTCAACTTAAATATATTGTCAAAAATGAAGAGTTTTACCTTTTCATATTCAGCAATGCCCAAGGTATTCCAGAGGGAGTATGAAATGCAGGTAGCAATTTTACCCCAAGTTCCACTGCTTTCTTTCGAAATATCTGAAAAGTTAAATAGTTAAATAAGCTACTGTTCCAAGCAACATAAAACATTGTAATAGTACCAGTAGTAGAATAGTACTGTTCTACTTTAAAATTCTCTATACACGAAAAAGGAAAAGTTTCTCAAACTAATGGAATTATCTCCTTTTTTGTAAAGTATTTACTGAGTAAAACAAGGATGGTCCAGAAGGCTAGCATATTGCAGGGTATTTATTCTTAATCTTGGTTGTACATAAAAACCATGTGGCAGGGGGAGGCGGGGAATGATTTTAATAATATTGATGTCTGAATCCTACTCCTGAGATTTCTATGATTCAGAACATCATGATCAGAACTTTTGAAAGCTTCCAAGCGATGCCACACAATTCAAATGTTCAAGCCAAGCTGAGAATGGCCAACGTTGGAGAGTAAGTCCTGTACTGAGAATCAGGAGACCGGGCCCTGTCTCAGCTTCAGCACACTTTCTTGATGGGGCAAGGAGAAAGGAGATGTTTTAAAAAGACTTATAATTTTGTGGGAAATCTGTCTTCTCAGGCTCTTTCAGCTTTAACTTTCCCGTTCAGTATAGGTGACAAGGAAAGTACAGAGTTAAATTAGCTATTGATTCTGCCCACATGGAAATCAGGGTTTAGTAGGCAAGATAATACATGCACATACATACCTAGAACACAGATAAAATGGGGGAGACATGAAAAGCTTTATGGTGGAGACAACATTTAGATGAGGACTGTATGTAGCATTTAATTGGGGCTAACTAATAATAATAGGGATTGGCGTGAGAAGCAAAAGCGGAGCAGACATTCCCGAAGGGGTCACTGTAAGTAAGCACAGATGGAGGTAAGTTGGGCCAGTAAAAGAAATGGAATAGGTCTGTTTGCCTGGCAAAATGGGAATAGTGGTAAATAAGCTGGATATCTATATTTATATCTACCTGTATCTATAGCATTGGCCAAAATCATGGAGGGTCACGAATGTAAAAGGTTAAGAATCTTATTCTGTTAAGACTGGAAAATTCTGAAAGTTTTTGAGTTGATGTTGTTATGTGCCATCAAGTCAGACCTGACTCATAGTGACCCCTCCTTGGGTTTCCGAGGCAGTATGACTATGGAAGTCGACTGCCCAACAACCTTCCTTCCGAGGAGTGGCTGGTGGGTTTGAACCTCCAGCTTTCTGGTTAGCAGTCAAGTGCCTTAGGCACTACGCTATCAGAGCTCCCAGATTTTGAGTAGCCAATACATTTGAGCAAGATGTGTGTTAGCAAGATTGATTAGAGGATAGTCAGTCACAATTTTAGGTCACTGAAGAAGGACTGGAGCTTTGTTCCTTGTTTACAGGGCATGACTAAGCATGGCTGGCTGGAAACTTATTATTTCCTTCTGCTTCCTACTTAAACAAGGGAGACATGAGAGGGGCTGGGAGAGAGCTGAAAGGCATGGAGAATGGAAGCAAAGTGTTCTCCTAGCCTAAGGGCAAGCATTTGTTAAAGCTCCATCAAACAAGTCACGTGTGGCTTCTTTGGAGGAAAGTTTCTAAGAACTGCTTCAAGGGCTGAGCCTCTCCACAAAGAGTCTGAGTGCTTGGGCTCCCCAACGAGGATGATCAAGCAATGCCAGTGGTTAGGCTACCTCCCAAACCTTTCTCTTTTGGAAACTAATTCTCATTCAGTAATGAAAGTCAAGAAAAAAATGAGTTTTAACTCAGAAAAGGAGCATGAGAATGCTGACACAACTTGAAGGACGTAATCACTGTTACTAAATTGTACACGTAGAAACTGTTGAAATGGTAAATGTTTTGCTGTATATATTCGCAAAAACAAAATTTAAAAATTTAGGAAAGAAAGTGAGTTTTAATATAAAACTTTGGTTGACAGTCCATTTAGATAAGCTGACTTTTCTTGTATATAAATAAGGACAACCATACATTTACAATATACAGAAAGCAGTAAAACTAGAGGTAACTTTTTTTGGGGGGAGGGTATATCTTAAATTACTCTACAACTCCCTTCAATTTGGACACCTTCCTGTTTCAACAACTAATGGTATATGGATGTAAATGAGAAAGAAAATATATACCAAAGGTATATACCCTTCCTTCCTTTTTTCTGCCTTACTCTCCAGAATTCCAGGTTACTTTCCACCGTAAGGGTGTATCCAACCATTGTCAGGCCACCTGTTGACTTTCTGGTTTCTACCCAGCTTTTTAAGTTGCTAACTCCTTTTCAAGAACCTTACATAACACAGAAGTCAAACGATATAATTAAATGCTGTTGGATTATAACCATATGGTATGGAGTTAAGAGCTCACGCTTGGGAGTCACAATGCTTGTTTTTGAATCCTAGTTTTACTTTTTCAAGTTGGGTAATCTTGGGGAAGTTGCTTAATGTCTCTGTGCCTAAGCTTCCTCATCTATAAAATGAAGAAAAGAATAGTAGGGCTTACTTTTTAAAGGTTGTGGAGAGAAATAAATAAGTTGCTTTATTTAAAGAGTTTAGGACACACAATCTCGATTCAAAAATGGCAGTTGTCGTTTTTATAATGGTGATGCTAACAGGGATTTATTTTACCAAGAACTTTGTTATTTACTGCCTGAAATTCTTTCTTGTTTTGGGTTTTATCCAACTGCTGTTTTGGTGCCTTCTACTCAGATTTGTTCTCTCTTTCTCACTCTCTGTCTCTCATTTCTCTTACCCACCCCAAAACAAACAGAGCAAAGCAAACCTATACACACACAGAACAAAAATAATAAGGCGGTTGCTGTTGAGTTGATTCTGACTCATGGCAACCCCATGTGTGAAACAATAGAAATGCTCCATAGGGTTTTTAAGGCTATGACCTTTTGGAAGAAAATCACCAGGTCTTTGTTCAGAGATGCCTCTGCATGGGTTCAAACCACCAACCTTCTGGTTAGTAGCCAGGTGCTGCTTTACTGTGTATGCCTACAGGACTGCCTACACACACACACACACACACACACGTGCACATATAATCATAAGCATTTATTCTTAGAGGCTAATGGAAAGTTAAATTAGCATGTGTATGGTTTCTCTAGGAGTTCTGGTGGCACAGTGGTTAAGTGCTCTACCGTTAACGGAAAGGTCTGTAGTTCAAACGCACCAGCCACTCCATGGAAAAAAGATATGACAATGTACTTCTACTAAGATTACAGCCTTGGAAACCCTGTGGAGCAGTTCTACTCTGTCCTACAGGGTCACTTTGGTAGATATCTGCTTGACAGCAGTGAATTTTAGAAAAGCCATGTTGTTGTTGTTGTTGTCGTGTGCCATTGAATCGATTCTGACTCACAGCAACCCTGCAGGACAGAGTAGAGCTGCCCCACAGGGTTTCCCAGGCAATATATCTTCACAGGAGCAGATAGTCAGGTCTCTTCTGTAGGCCAACAATTGTCGAGCATTTAATTACTGCTCTACCAGGGTCTCCAAAGGACCCAGATAAATGCTAATTTAACTTTCCTTTTTAGTTCTAGCTCTGTACTCCTGTTTGTTTAACATTACAATTTTAATGTTTTGTTATTTTCTAAAACTTAAAAAGTCTAAATTGGTATCAATGATTTAATGTCCTGGGAAAATTTCCCCAGTTCCATTAGTGACACTACTGCTTGATCAATCCCTGGGACATGAAAGAGCAGGTGTTTTGACTTTTTAATTATTACTCTTCAGTTATCGAGGTACCAATATTAATTTCTCTGAAATGTCTCAAAAACAGTTCACTCCCTTTCCCTGTATCAGCATAGTCTATGTTTTCACCATCAGATACAATGAAATCATGTGATTAAAAAAAAAGGGGGGGAAGTCCCACCTACTCTCCCATGCTCCAGATTTTACCATTAATCTATACTTGTAGTACCCGTTTTTATCATACAATCTTCTTTTTGTCTATTTTCAGAAACATCAAGTCAAAACTGCTCTGCTAACTTTTCAAGTGGCTTAGTGCCTAAGGCATCTGACTGCTTACAGAAGGATGACAGTTCAAACCCATCAACCACTCTTTGGAAGGAAGACTGGGCAATTTACTTCCAAGGTGATACTGCCTCAGAAACCTAAGGAGGGTCCCTATGAGTTGGATCCAACTTGACAGCAGTGAGATTTTTTTTTTTTTTCTTTAAATGAATCAGGCTACTTATTATAAAACCATGATTACGGTTTTCTCAAAGACCACTGTGACTCCAGTTTGAATCTTCATGGTATGAAACATTCATTCAAATTCAGGCTACCTTATAATCTTTATTTGCAGTCCTGTCACCCTAACACACCCCATTTTAGCTCCTGCCGACCAATCTAAATTCACCCATTCTTCAAGACAAGTCCCAATTTCAGGTAAAGATTTTTGCCTTAATGAATTCCCACACTGACAGCCAGTACCATATAATACAGTTATTTGCTTACAGAAGGCAAGGTTCAGACGTCTACATACTTCCTCATGTTACTCTCTTATACTCCCAATTTTTTTTTTTTTTTTTCTTTCTAAAGGTAGGGAGAAAAACCTCTATTTCTCCTTCATTGCCTATCATACACACTCAACCCAAATTAGGTCATTTTTAATTTAAATTCATTGCTATCACCACAATGTTCCTATGAGATGAGAAGATATTTATATTGTCTGTTAACAGGTGAGGAAACAGAGGGACTTTCCCATCTCAGGGTTTTTGCTGTTGCTATTTTCTCTACCTGTGGTGCTCTTTCCCTAGCTCTGTATTTGCCTCATTTATTCTTGTCTTCAGGAATCAGTTTAAATTTCCTCTCTTAAGAGAGGGTTTTTCTAACAATCTCATGTCCAACTGGCCAGCCTCATTTATTGTCTTTCACATCATCTTGTTTATTTCTGTCCCACTTTCACATCCTAGTTACATTATTTGCTTACATGTTACTTGCCTGAGAACCCTAACTACATATAAGCTCTATGAGGGTATGGATATCATCATCTTTGTTGCTATACATATTCCCAGTATCCAGCAAAACAGCTGGTGCTCAATAAGTGGTCAT